TCTCCTTTTTTTTCTGAAAATTTTTGTACGAAAGTCGTAATAGTAGCCCCTTCATAATACAAGCCCCCCCTAAAAATTTTGAACGCTTGGACAGTTTAGAAGCCCCGGAGGCTTCTATTATGGGGGGAGGGGGGTTTAGTTAAACTGGTAAAAAAACCGGCAAAACAACGGTGTTAACCGGCCGGTTCGGTTCCAACTCTGATTTGTTCTTCGTTCAGCGCGAACTCTTGCACCATATCACCTTGTATTGTAGGAACAGACACTGGTGCTACGATAACTGCAGGAGAATCAGTGATTACATCATTTTGAGTGGCAGTTACAACAATGACAACATCTGAATCAGCTTGAGAGCTGCCTTGCGTATCTTCACCACCGTTCAAAATGGCATTCCTTGCTTTTTCTTTTTCAATCTGTAAAGTTTTTTGCCACTTTTTGTTTTGTTTTACTGTTTCGGATGTGGCCGGCTGAAAAGCTTGTTCATTAAAACGAAGTTTATCAAACAGGCTACAAAAATCAGGACTGATAGCTAATTTTCCTTGATTTATTTGTTCTAAAGGAAGAAATAATGACGAAAGATCGTTAGGGAATTATCGACAGTTTTTAATAATTACCATGCAAATGTGTAAATCGTCGGTTCCGAATCATAACCACAGCTGCAGATTCAATGTAATTCTCCGTTGCGTCGGTTGATAGTGGCGCCTCGGATGATTCACCAGTGTCGAGAAATTCGAGTAAGTCGTCCACGTCATCATCATCGTAGTAAAGAGTAGCAGCAAAGCTTTTACGAGGGGGAACATCGTCTTCATCTTCTTTATTTGCGCTTGCTTCCCCTATAACTTGCAAAAGATGTTCGTCGCGATCATTTTTGCATTCATGTAAGAGTTGAATGTTATCTATAATTTTTTGAGATGTTGCCGAAAGTGCATTTTGATTGTGTTCCAGAGCTTGTATCCACGTATTTTCTTCTTGGCACAGGTCTGTAACTTTTCTTCATGATTTAAATAGTGTGAGTATAGAACGAGAATAGCGCTCGTTCGTGTCGTCACGAGTTCAATTAGGTATTTGTGGACCAACTAACACTGGAGTGATATCTATTGATCGTTTCACTAATAAGTGTGATTCGAATTGTGGATGATTCTTATCGAAGAGGTAACGATTACAAGGTGGTCTGCCCTGTTTGTCGGTTTTTCCATTCTCTTCAATAAACGGCTGGTTCTTTTTAGTCATTCGTCGTTTCACGTATTTGCTAAGAAAATCGTATAGACATTTGGCCGATTCTGGTGGTCAATTCGTGTATTAACTGATACATATTTATCACTCTCATCTTTTCCTTTTTCAATTATGAATTGTTCTTCGATTTTTGCTCGGGATCCATAGTGGAGTTAGGATCACTATAATCGTCGAAGTCGTTTTTCTCATCATTATCTCTGTTACGGTCTAGATATATATAAAAATAAGTAAATATACGTTAGAAATTTTAGGAAAGCATTACCTTGGAAAACCTACCTTCTTTCACGTCTTCATTAGAACGCTTTCTTTCGCTATCTAAGCATTCTTGCAAATAGCGTTCAATACCGATTAAGAATACAGTTGTAAATTTGTAGAATTTGTAGTTATCAGGCCAATCCATAAGATATGAAGCCACCTGAGCACCAAATAATTCTCTCTGACTTGCTAACGTATTGTAGCAACGTAAAACTAATTTTCGCGATTTGTCGAATACATCATCGCAAATAATTGGATGCTTTTTGATCTTAGTATACGCTTTGTATACCAAAGACACAGTATCGTGGTATGTCATGCCTGTTTTCGTAATGTAATCAGCGCAATAGCACACAAGTGCTCTAGCATCTAGACTGGATCATATAAATTTAATATCCATGTTAGATCGACATTCTGCTATCAACACAGATAGATTTTTAGAACATCTGAATTTAGAGATTTTTAGAATGCCTCAATTTCTGAATTTACCGATTTTCAGTATTTCTGAATTTGTGAATTCACAGGTTTTCAGAATTTCTGACTTTTTTGAATCTACCGATTTTTGGAATTGCTGAATTTCTGAATTTACAGCTCTTCAGAATGTCTGAATTTGAAGATTTTTAGAACTGAATTTCTGTACTTACACATCTTTAAACTTTCTGAATTTGAAGATTTTTACAATTTCTGAATTTTTTCGAATTAAGTTAACATTTCTGAATTAATAGATTTTTAGAACGTCTGAATTTTTTTGAATTTACCGATTTTTAGTATTTCTGAATTAATAGATTTTTAGAACGGAATTTCTGTATTTGCAGATCTTTTGCAAGAGCTCCGCCCTAGAAAGCTTTCTCCAAAACCTTTTTTCTGGAAGCTTGGCGCATACTTCATTTATAGAGAACTTCAAGGACCATCCAAATCACTATTCAGATTTGACCAAGTCACTCCGCTTGATCGAAAACTTTCAAAAATACAGTGGCTCTATTTTTTCCAGTATTGCAGTATGAATCTTATTGAGTACGACTCAGACATTTTGACGAAGGTTTTGCTATCAATATTATAGGGGGTTTCGACGGTATTTTGATAGGCACTGATGATTGGGTTGAAATGCAAGAATTTGAGAGTTTCTGGATGGATGATATATCAATGTTCTTTGGTGTGTATCACAGGAGTAACACGTTTTCTCTCGCGTGTTGCATTTAAGCAGTTCTCTGCTTAAATGATAATGATGATGTGATGTTTGTTGAAGAGCGTCGTGGTGAATGGTATGAGTTTAAGGAAGGTAGTAATCTAATCTCTCTCTGAAGTATTCAAGATCGCGTTTTTTCTATTATTTCTCTATTTAGATCGTGGTGATGATAATGATGTGGTACTTATGAAAGAGCGTTGTGGTAGTGGGAGCATCTTGTATGAAGGTGGTAAGGTAGTTTCTTAAGTAAACCACCGTTAATTGAAAAGTTCCGCAGTTTTATTTTTGGTTTTCTTATACATCAATCGAAAGAGAGTTTCGTGCTGATCGGGAATATCACCTTTTATGCTGTCGGTTTTCACGAGGAGTAATTCGAAATCAATATCGGGAAAACATTTTCTCCTTTGTATTTCGAAGCTTCGAAACGTTTTTTTCCGGATTTAGCATTGAAAACTGAATTAGGAAATGTGTGTTGAAGTTTTCGGTATGTAATGTGATTGTAGAAAAATTCATTTACAAGCAGAGCTTGAAAGGAAAGGTGCCACCGGAAGAAGGTATCTAATTTTTTGTGTTAAGAGACGAAGGTCTAATTGTTGCTCCACTCTATCGGCTTTGAGTTAAAGTACAAAAATATGAATCGCTTTTTTGTAAAATTTGTTTTATACCTGAGAAAGTACAATTTTTCTGAATCAGGAGCGAATTAATCGGAATTCTGCAGGTAATTCTCCATTTTCTCCATTCGAACTCACTTTTTATGCGATAAAAATATTATCCGGAGTTAGCGTCGAAAACCGAAGGAAAAGGGTGATATTCCTGATCAGCGTGAAATTCTGTATCGAATGATGTATAAAACAGCCAAAAATAAAAATGTGCTGAACTTTGAATTCAGCGACGCTTTATTCAAACTCGGGTCTCCTGTTTTATTTCTCTGTTTAGATGGTGGTGAGAATGGTCTAATCTTTATGGAGGAATGTGTTTCAATGAATGTATAAACGTATTTTATCGCTTTTTCGTTTTACTTTTAGTTTTGTTGTTATATTTTTTTATCCTTGTTGCGCTATGATTGTGTTCTGTTAAATAAAATCAATACTACAAATAACTTAGTTGCTCAAGGACGCGGAACGGTTTCTGCTAGAAACTTTTCATTTTTCGCCACCGGTTCAACAAAAGCCATTTACATTTTTCCCTAACTTTATCGTCCGATTTCAAAGTCCTTGAGCAAAGCTCATACATAGTAACATGGAGAATTTTCTAGGCTTCAAAATAAGCTAGAAACGAGGTTTTCAAAAATATGCCCACATGTGTGAATAGCCGAAATACTAGGCAAATATCATCGTTTTAACCTATTGATTGATTGATTGATTTTTATTTTCGTAACAACCAGAGGTGCATAACCTTCCTCGTGCGCACCCGCGCGGGTGGGGAAATTTTTTGAAAAGTTGTTCTACTGGGGGAAATTTAAGATACAACAGCCTGGGGAAATTTCTGGAAAAAATTTTCGTGGGTGGGGAAATTTTTTATTTTTTGGAAGATTCTGCACCTCTGGTAACAACAAAAGACAGAAGATAAACATACAATAAAAACAGAAACCTTTAATTTTCATCAAAAACCGGTTACCGAGAAAGCAAAAAAATATGCGATGCGCCAATAAACCTTGCTACCCTTTTCATAGTTGGAGATGCTGCCTTGAACAAACTATTTTGGTACTTTAAAGAAATATTTCTTGAACTCCACTCAGAGCCGGAATATTTTATATATAGAAACAGAGAGAATTTTCTGGGATTCAAAATAAACTCTAAATAAGTGTTTGAAAAATATGCTCATATAGCACAATTGTCGAAATACTTGGCCGACATCATCATTTTCGCCTCAGTGCTTTAAATACTCCTTTAGTCATTTTTCTAAAAATTATATATTTTTCAAAAACATACCATTGGATAGCCCTTGAAATTCTCTACAAAGTGAGCTGATCAGAATATTCAGGCAAGTGGAACCAGTCATTAAAGACATGTACAAGAAGCGTTTGGGTGTTATCTATGCAGTACAGAATATCATAATCACAAGAACTCCTTTGTTTTTTATTTTTCGGTAAAAGCTGGAACTAATCGGAATACTGTTTTGAATAGCCCGAAGATTTTTCTATCAAATGAGGTGCATATCGCCGTATCATGGGAAAAGTTGATAATAGGAGAAATCGGACGATAAAGTTGGGGAAAAATGTAAATGGCTTTTGTTGAACTGGTGGCGAAAAATGAACAGTAATTTTTGTTTGAAAGACACCAAAAGGAATTTTTGAGAGTGGGAAGTGCTAGGAAGTGAAAATGGAAGCATTTGCGATCATTTGATTCAAAATCATATCGGGCCATTTTCTAGCAGAAACCGATCCCGGTTCTTTGTGATAGTTCGAACAGTTCCTAGTTCCTAGTGCTGACTTTTTTCGAAAAACGATCATTGTCATGAGACTTATCGTGATGGATAACCCATGTTTCCGTTCATTTTCGACATTACCGCGCCTAAGGAAATATCGATCGTTGAGCTTAGAGAAAACAAGATGCCGCGCCTAAAGAAAGTGACAAGACGGTTTGTTACTTTCTTATGAATATCTTATAAGTATCTTATGAGCCATTGCACGTAAGCCACGACCGACGTGCTTCAATCGATATTCTCGAAACTTTTCCAAAGTAGGGGGCTTTTGTAGATCAAACATTTTAAGGAATTTTGGTGAAAGGCGCAAATCAAAAAGTTGTATCGTTCCTGAGATATTGATATTTTACGAAAAGCCCTGAAAAACGTAGATTCCGCCATCTTGAAAATTTGCCAAATTTAAACTCTTCTAACGCAG